TAGAAAACTACGTCTGCCTTCGACTGTTAACGGCAACAGAAAAAGAGAAAGTAAAAGTTAAAGTAAAGTGTAGATCAAAGTTTAAACTCCTAGTCTGTGGTTTGGACTACGACGGGTTTTCGTGCTTTTGAAGGCAATGCTCTTTCGTCCTAAACACTGTGGAATTGATAGTTTTAGTACTGTATGGGAAACGTTCTACACCCGTTTGAACTCTGCAGGAGTAAAATCAAGTTGAGCTCTACATTAGGGATTTACTTGTCCTACTATAGGCACACCCAGTGTCTCCGCCATCTGTCGCGCCCATTTTAGGTCGCTGTGACGTCTTGCGTGAAATGCATGTTTGAGGTTAGTTTATTTTCAGAATGGGTGGTGATTACTTTTACCCGAGTAGGACTGAGTAAATGTATATATACTCTGTCACATTTTAAAGTATACACTGTGTTGAAATTAAAATAGTTTCACAATGAGTCGATATTCTTTAAAATTTCAGGAATACTAATTCAATCAATTTTTAAAACGAAAACAACAACAACAATACGGAATGTTGACACAACAGGTTTATTCATGACTTACAAGAGGGTGGGGGTGATCTACAAAAGTAACACGATCAGTAGCGTTGATGGCGGCCTGATATCGTCGCCGCATGGAATCAATCAATCGCTGCACTGCCTGTTGAGGGATGTTATTCCACTCTTCATGCGATGCTCTCTCAAGTTGAGGAAGTGTCTGAAGCTGGTGTTGTCGCATGTTGTTCAACTCATCTCTGGTTTGTCTTGACGTTTTGAAACGACTCCGTAGATGCGACAAGCATATAAAAAGATCCTCTCTCGGAGTAGATCTAGTTGTTTATCTCCCACGTTGGCAGTGTCGATCCTTTCCTGATTTTGTTGTTTTCTCACGATCCATTGTCGTGTCCACAGGTCTTCTTGTTACAATAAGATATCTCGCAACAGTGGATACTGATGAGGCACCCCCGCGGATCATTCCAACAAGCTGATTTCGCACATTTTCTCTTTGGGCGTGACATCATGAAACGTAGATTTAACAAGTTTTATCACTGGCGAATTGTTACAAAAATGACAAAGCTTTGATGTGTGCTTCTTTTTTAAACAAATCATTGCCGTATCATGAGTAATTCTAAAAGAAAGACAAAACATGTAACACGCATGCAGTTACAAAACCACTCGCGTGTTTAGAAATCTGAAAACAGCTCACTGGCGACAGGTATATCACGTAATTAGTGTGTAAATTCAGGGGCGAAGGCTGACTTGTTTGACAGGGTAATCAAAGTGAAACGGGACCAGATATGGCCTGTAGATATGAC